CCACACACACACAACATTTTTTAAGCATATCTAGATTAACTCAGTGAGCCAGCCGGATCTAGGAAGCTTCAATAAAGGCATGCAGTTTCAAAGGACCCATTCTGGGGTCTTCTTTTTTCAGAGGCTGCCTTGCTGGTCTAGCTGGTTTCCCTGTAGTTCCTTCCTCTGGCCTTGCATAGTCATAGACTTGAACTATACAAACTGAACTCCTCATCTGGCATCCCTCAGTTACACGACCTCTTATTGGTCCAAGTCCGCTTAGTAGGTTGCAACCCAAGATACTATTTTTCCCCTCAAGATGAATTGAAGTAGCAGTGCCATGATGTAAGAGAAGGGGAAGTTGTTAAAGATTGGGGTAAGGAAAAGGATGGGCAGAGTCAGATACTTAAGTAAAATAAAGCAAGACTGAAGGATCTGTGGCTTTTCGGGTGCTGTTGGACTACATTTCCTGTTGTCACCAGACCTTGCCTATTCTGGCTGTAGCTAATAGAGGTTGACATCTGACAAAACCAGGGGGTCCATGTTCCCGTAGCCCAGCAGAAAGGTAAAAATATAAAATATTGTTGATTTTTCAAGTGGAAGAAGAGAGCACTGAGTCTACATAGGTTGAAGGAGACTAGTATGCAGGACTGAATCTCAACAACCATGGTTCCTGGGCCAGATTGTATCTTATAACTACTAGGGAGATGCTACTGAAAATGACCTATTCATGCTGAGTAATCACTGGGTAATCACCCTCCAGTGTGGAGAGTCATGACATGATTAATAGAGCTCTGCAGGTTATCTTTGATAGGGATCACTCAAGGGAAGCCCATGTCTGCTGGCATATCCTCACTGTAATGTCCTCCAGCTAATTAAAGGAGGAGGACAAAAATAAAGAACTCCAGGCTGCTTCTATTGCTTGTTTATTGACAAAGCATAATATGCATGCTTACTCCAATGTAAATTCCACTTAGTTCAAGACACAGGTCCTAAAAATGCAGACTAAGGAGGGAGCATCTTTGAGCACAGTGGAAAATACTTTGAAGGAAATGTGCACTGGGCTGTAATATTGTGTGATTTATTTTCTCAGTTGTACAGAGTGGTAAACAGGCTGGCTCTGCTTGCATGGAAGGATAAGCCCTGAATTCTAGCTTATTAGAGCACAATGTGAATGAATAGTGTGCTAGTTAACACAGCCTGGTCAAACCCATTTTGTCTGAGTGCGTAAACAAACTATCCAGGGATAGCTTTGGCTGGCTAGAACTGATGGGAGCTGCAGTCCAACATAATTGGAGGATACATGGTTGTTCAGGACTGGCTTAACATGGCATCCAAGCCTGTAATTATGGTGGTTGGCTTCCAGATCTTGGTTTGGGTGCAAACGACAATGCTTGGCTTAAAGCTGCCTTACCCCACTTGTTCACATTGTGCTTTAATAAGGTGAAACTTCTTGGTTATCAGTGCATGTGAAAGCAGCCACTCTAAAATATCATCTCCTAGATCTTTTATACTTCCTAGACTATAAAGGATTAACTTTGTTTCAAAGTTTTATACTCTCAGAAGTTTTAATCTAGGTGTAAAAATGCAGGTTCCAGAACAAAAAATAAGCCATTGCCGTCACATATCAGAAATGAATAAAATTTGTATCTCTGACAAAATAAAGTTTAAAATGCAGAGCTTGTTTGGGCCGCTGACTGATTTGCCATTTAGGCCTAGTTATTCTAGGAGTAGATGTTCATTGGAGGGAATGCAACACTACTGGATTTATTAAATGGTTAGAGTGCACTCTCCAGAGCTGTATGCACTGTGGATTAAAAATAAGCAAACGTCTGGGATCACAGTTAGGAAGTCAGCCCTCAATATTTATATTCAAGCTCTCGTTTTCCTCTGAGCTGTGTTCTTGAAGTCTGGTGATTTTATGTTCTTTGGAAAGATCTGCTTGCAGAAGCAGTATTTATAATTAGTTCCAAAGCACTAAGCTAAATGCATACAAGCATCCATTATGCAACAACAGCAGTTGATGCCTAGGTTCTTTTCATTCAATCATGAACCCTTCGGTAGAAAGCTTAGAATCCTAAAAATACAGTGTAGGGAAGGACTATTTCATGCACGGATTTGTATTCTGGGCTCCACATTACAGGAAGGATATAGCCAGGTTAGAGTCAGTGCAGCGCAGGGGGACAAGGATGGTGGCTGAATTGCAGGGAAAGCCATATGGTGCAACACTGAGGGAACTGGGTCTTTTCAGCCTGGAGAAGAGGAGACTGAGGGGATCTGTTGGTGACATATATGTACATAAGGTGGTGTCACATGGATGTGGGTAGAGACCTGTTCTCCCTTGCAGAGGAAGACAGGATGCGCTTCCATGGAGCCAAGCTCAAGGAACCAAGGTTCAATTTGGATGCCAGGAAGCGCTTCCTGACAGTGAGGACCCCAGGGGTATGGAATGGGCTTCCACGGGAGGTGGTTGAGGCCCCATTGATGAGGGTGTTAAAGGATAGGCTAGACATACATATGGTAGGCATGTCATGAATGGAGCCAGCTGGAGCTGGGGGTTAGACTAGATGGCCCAGGAGACCCCTTCTGACTCACTCTGTTTCTATGTATTTGTAGTTTTTTAAAAAATGCAATATTTATTATTTATTTAGGAGACTTCTATGCCGCCCCATTCGCTGAAGCCTCGGGGCGGCTC